TTGACGACCGAGAGGAAGTGGATCAGCCCCGGAAGAGGCCAGGGCGAGTGAGGAAATGCATGAGACTCCTTCAGGGACCTGCCGAGGAGATTCAGGCCGTAGACTGGGGGGGAGCTCCATCACCGAGGAGCCAGACATCTAGCCCGAGAGTTGGCCCTCCTTGAAGAGAACGACGGGGAGATTGTCAACGAGAGGTTCATCAAGATGTTAACGGCAGAGGTGGAGGAGATCGCCGAGGAAGCGATGATCCAGGGGCGACAGGTCGATACGGCCCGGCTGACAGAGGCAGAGCAGGCGCGAGGGGATGTGCAGGAGTTCCTCCAGACGAGGATGGTCGGTCTGGCTGAAGTCCGAAAGAATCTGGAGGAGTGGAAACCATCAATGGTGGAGGAGTACACGGCTTTGATCACGGAATCGGAAGCTGTGGAGCCCATCAACCGAGAGCGGGCCGACCAGCTGAAGGCAGAGGCGGCGGCTCTGGGGAAGGAGTTTGACCTCGTCCCGGCGAAGGCGATCTTCAGTCGAAAGGCAGGATCCGGGCGACACAAGTGTCGGGGTGTGGCCTGCGGGAACTTCATGAACGCCAAGAGCACGGAGTCGACCTTTGCGTCCGGGGCCAGTGGGATTGAAGTGAGGATGCTGATCAAGCTGGCAGCTGTCAACCAGTGGTCCCTGGCGACGTTAGACGTCAAGACCGCCTTCCTCAACGCTCCTGCAGCCCACGAACGAGGCACGATCATCGTGCAACCACCAAGGATCTTCCAGGAGGCGGAGGTGTTGACTAACCCCAAGGAGTTGTGGCTGGTGAAGAAAGCACTCTACGGGTTAGTGACGTCTCCCCGTGATTGGTGTGACCACCGGGATGGGAAGATCAAGGACTTCCGATGGCATCGACGAGGAAGACCAGTCCGAGTACAGGCCACCCCTCAAACGGACACTGGCTAATCCAGGAGGAGGATGAGAAGGTTGGGTGGAAGACGAAGGGAGCATTGGCGACATACGTGGACGACGTCCTCATGGTGGGGGAGGAGGACATCATCCTGGGGTCCATCGAACAGGTGAAAACCCATTGGAAGATTGGAGAACCAGAATGGGTGGTGGAAGGGCGAGAGCCCGTGAGATTCCTGGGAATGGAGATAGAGAAGCGCGGAGTCGACTATGTCATTCACCAGCAGGCCTACATCACCAACCTGCTGAGCGAGTACGAGGAGACTGGAAGAGGCGCCTTGGGCCAGGTCCGAACTCCCGAGGAGGAGGAACACCCAACGTCGGACCAAGTTCTCCAGGCACAGAAGGAGACGGGTGAGCTCTTGTGGGTGGCGGGAAGATCACGGCCCGACCTGTCGTTGGGCGTTGGCATCATGTCTCAATGGGCATCGAAGAGGCCGGCGCAGGTGATAAAAATCGGGAAGCAGATCCGGACCCACCTTAAGGAGACGCTTGAGGAAGTCTTGGTCATGTCCGCGGACGGAGGTGAGAATCGGGAGAATGTCAACAACGATGAGAAGGCCTCGATCAGGACGGTCGACGTCTACACGGATGCCTCCTATGGTTCGTCGGAGCTGAAGAGCATTTCCGGGGTAGTCGTCTTTGTCGGAGGAACGCCCGTCGGATGGCAGACGACACGGCAGCCGTTCATAACGCTTTCAACTGCAGAAGCCGAGTTGATGGCGATGTTGGAAGGACTCATCGCAGGGAGATCTACGGCAGCCTTGCTGGAAGCAGTCGTGGAGGAGAAGGCGGAGGTGAGGCTTCACTCAGACTCGACAGCTGCTATTGCCATCGCGACGGGGACGACATCCTCATGGAGGACGAGACACCTACGAATCAGAGCAGCTGGACTCACCGAGGCGATCAGAGAGAAGGAGGTCACCTTGGATCATGTGTCCGGGAAGGTCCTCGTTGCTGATGGCTTCACCAAGCAACTCACAGGACCAGCACTGGGAAGGTTCAAGGAAGCTCTGGGTTTGAAGGGGGCAGAGAAGGAGCCGATCGCGGTCAAGAAGATTGAGCTCATCAAGAAGGTTGAACCGGGATTCACTCGAGGAATTGGACTCCTCATTGCGGCCACCAGTCTGTTGGGAAGAGTGGAGGCAGCTGAGATGGAGGCGGTGGAGTCCACGAGTGAATGGTGGATCATTGTGCTGATCACGGCAGCCATCGCTATCCTGGTTGACATCGCCTTTCGAGTGGGAACTTCGGGCATTCAGCGCTGGTTCAGGCCAAAAGAGGAAATTAAGGTGAAACTGCTCAACCCGGAGGCCCGACTGCCGACCAGAGGATCGGATCAAGCCGCTGGTTTAGACCTGTACTCGACCATTGAAACCTTGGTCCCTCCAGGAGAAAGCGTTCTGATCAAGACCGGGATTGCCATCGAGCTGCCGGCTGGGACCTATGGACGAATAGCCCCACGATCATCGTTGGCAATCCGAGGCATTGAGACGGGAGCTGGAGTGGTGGACCGGGACTTCCGGGGCGAAGTGAAAGTCCTCCTGAGGAATTGGGCGGATGAAGACCTTCGAGTGTACAAGGGAGATCGGATCGCTCAATTGGTGGTGGAGAAGATCCTGGAGGTGGGAGTGAACCACGTGGAGGATTTGAGCGAGACTGCCCGAGGAAATCGAGGGTTCGGATATTCAGCCCACGAGGAGGCATACCCATGGGCGGATCCTGATGACCCACTCTACCAGAGGCAGGAGCTGGGAACGAGAAATCCAGTGAGCAGAATCTCGATGAGGGCTATGAGGGTGAGTTCGGAACAGGCTCAAGCACCGGAGACGGACCCTGGGCAGACATCGGCTGATGCAGGTGGCGACCGGAGCCAACTATCTGCAGACCGACCTGGACCAGCTGCGCGCCATCCGGTACCCGATCCTGACCTATGGCATCGTGGACCCTACGATCCCGAAGCCGAGAGGGAGAGGCGAGCCTCGTTGGGACTGGGAATGTCAGCATGGGATCGCATGATGGAACGAAGAGGACCTCGGAGGAACTTTGGGGGAACCTGGATCATGATGGACTCCAAGGGCACCCGAGTGATCTACAATGAACATGGTCCAGATCGACGCCCCAATCTACCGGCGACGCCAGCACTTGACCCAGGATTGGGGAGGGGAACTTCATCCTCGACATCCGGAAGGGCATCGGGCTTGGCGGCGGCTGAGATGGAAGAGAAGGAGGTGACTGGGGACCAGACCGAGGCGAAGAGTCAAGAACCCGAGGAGGGGACCCTGGGGGGCCGGCGGATCGGCATGCGGAGCGAGGCACTGAACTTTGTCTCGCCAGTGGGAGACGGGATCACTCTCGGGAAGTGGACCCTATGGAGGGAGGAGGTTTTCGACTTCCTGCAGGACGAGACCTTCCAGCCGGGCTTTCTGACGGCGGCCCTGAGAAGGAAGGTTGGGATTCCGCCGAAGCGAACGGCGGCGAAGGACACATGGTTGACCATCAAGGACTTGCCAGATGGCGGGAAGGTGACGATTCGGGAACACGTTCAAGAGAGGAAGAAAATGTTTGACTTCGAGAATCCTCACCTATGGGACGAGAAGGAATGGCTGCCATGGAGGCTGACGATTGCCTGGGCGACCATCAAGAAGGAGAAGTACATCCTGGTGGACCGGAGGCAGGGGAAGAGGAGTGTCCATTTGCCTGACGTATGGGTCGGGTATACACTCTTCCGCACGCCCCGGCTGGAGTGAAGGGCTTGAGCTGAGGCCGAAAAAGGCCGCTTTTTGAAGAGCACCGAAATTGGCCATTTTGGCCAAGGGGGAGTGCCGGTGCACAAATAGAAAAGTGTACCAAGTTTTTAGGTGAAGAATGGTGCACGAACCAAGAAGTGTACCTAGTTGAGGGGTGCGAGAACACGCACAACCTTCGAGAAGTGTACCAAGTGAAACCAGAGGCCATACGAAGCCCTTTTGTTCGAGCGCGGTAAAACGACCGCCTTTGGTTTTGCGGTACCAATCCCATCCAAAAGTAGTCCATCAGTAACAACTTCGGCTCTTCCACAAGCAGCTACTAGAGTTACTAGAGTCTCTTTTTGGTGCCCACAACCAGAGCCAGGTTTAGAGTGGTCAGGAACTCCGAGCCACTTGAAAGGCCAACATGGTTAACTCGTTCGTGAGGTTCGGAACTCGAGCACCTTCCCCGAAGGTCGGTTCCTGCGCGTTCGTCCGGGCGGCGAATCGCCGAAGAAACCCTGCTTCGCCGTCTGTGGCAGAACCCAGTTGCATCGTGAGAAGCAAGAGCTTGGCTCAAATTCCAAGTGACCAATTCATCGATTTAGAGAGACTGGAAGACATATACTGGTTTGTAGGGGAGCTCACTCACAGCACTGCGCCACTTTTTGCCTCGTTCATGGTTTGCTCGCTTTAGTTGGTGTACAGCTCGCCATCACCAGAAATCCGCCGATCAAGAGAAGGCCGCTTCGGGCCAAAAGAATCCAAACAAAATCTGTCCTTCAAACCGAAGGCAGCTGGCGTTTGGAAGGAATTCAACTAAACAAAACATGGTGCCGTTTCAATTCACATCACTGCCGGTTTCATCATAACACATTGTGCCGATTGAAGGTGGAGGTGGCTCTTTTCAGAATCTCTATTTTCGACCAACATCTCCTTCCAAAGGCCATGCCTGGTGTGTGGTTGGGGGGCCCATTCGCCGTTCCACCGCACTCCGGTCCTGCAACTGCCAAGTGCAGCGGCTTGACTTCTACAATCGGCTTGTGCGACAAAGTCTTTGTGGTCAGCACACATGGGACTTCTGTTCCCAGGGTCCGCTGATAAGGACATGCGAACGATGTATCTTCGCACATCACAGTCTAAAAAGCTTCCCTCAAAGGTCCTTTTTGGCCATATGTTTGCTGCAAACGAAGCTCAGTCCGGCCCAAATACCGGCTTGGCCAAGAAGAGATGCCCTTTTGGACCTTCAAGGGGCTGAAGTATATCTTAAGTCTTAAATCATTACCACACGCAGTACGCTCGCCTTTTTCTTGCTATTTATATCTACTGTGGATCTGCTGCCCTGATGTCAGCAGAGCATCCGTCTTGGAATTTGGTGAAGTTCTCCTGGCCCAGTGCGGAGGACAGTCGTGTAGCCACCTGGGTTGTGTTTCACGAGTGGCCTTTGCAATTCCCACCATGCTGACACGGAATTGGATCATCCTTGAAGGGATTGATTGAACGTATGGTCCAAAGCGTTGGAAAATCTTTGGCCTTTGGAAGAAACACCGGTTCAATCACTCACTATATACCATGAAACAAGCAAGGGCAAGAAAGCCAGACAGGACAAAAGCAACCAATGGGTTCCTCTGGCCGCGGCCTAAGATTCATGGAAAAAGGCCCTGTGCTGCGATTGTTGGTAGAACCCTTGTTGACTTTCATGCCTCTTCAAACCTGCCCGCTGGCTTCGTGTGGTGCTTCCCCGGGTCCAGAAGGCTCTCTCCTTGAAAAGCCCTGAGAGCTTGGCTGACATTCGCTCGAACTCCGACTGGTCCAACCAAGTCTTGTTCGGCATCCTGCAAGCGATCTTTTGTGACATGGAGTGTCAGGGTGTGCTGCTACGGAGCCAGCTTGGAACTGGGTGGTCTTCGGCCAATTGTGCAGCTGGAAGTGGATCTAAAGTTACATGGGGTACATGAGGGCTCTTGAGGGGGGTTCCGATGAGGCAGGATGGGTTCCAGTAGCCTTGAGTGGCAGAAGTAATTTGCCTTGAATCTTGGGAATTGACTACAATAACAAACAACGGGAACCCCTGAACATCGGTGCATGTTAATTACTACTAGCATCTTGCTATGGTTCCTCTATATAATCCATATCGTTGAAACAGCTTGCCTCCAACATCCTCCAACCCATTTTCAATCCCTCATGTTCGATGCAGTGGTCGCGGCGACGATTCCGAACAGAGTTGGCTTGCTCACCTGAATTCCTACACCAGCGGCGTTCGGCTGCCGAACGTCACCTCTTTGCCCCAGCAACCATCAATAGAGAGAGCGCATTGCCGCGGAACTGCATGGAACATGTCTTGGGCATGGTAAGCTATGGGTAAAGCTATCTGCAATAATCTTAATGAGTGAAAGCCTCACCCTCCAGCTTCAGAACATCAATGTTGGCAAGGGCTTCAAAGTGAAAGGTCAACAATGTAATTAAGCCTCCTGGAAACATCACCTTTTCTGGACTCAGCAACAGTTCAATCATCTTGTTGGCAAAGTTCCACACCCAATGCAAAACGGAGCTCTGAGTGCTAAGAAGCCTCCTAAGCACGCGAGAAGGGCCATCCCCCCGCGCGCGAGAAGCTTGGGCGCGCGGCCCGCGGGGAAAGTGCCGAGGAGCAAGATCTTGGCATCAACGTTGGGACAACTCTTCGGCACCGCCAAATTGAACCTTCAAAAGTCTCAAAGTCGATCACAGTCGATCTCTAGTTTTAGAATCATGCTCAAAGGTCGAGCATGAAAAGGGTGGATCATGGTGGGTGGGCACCCATATTTTGAAGACACAACTCTTGCACAATAGCAGCTTACACTCCTAGATATAATCATGGAAGTGCAAAACCACCTGTTTGGTGTTCGGAACATGGTCCTCCTTTCCGGGCCAGGCCATCCACTTAACCACGACTGTTTCAAGGGGTGTGCCTCACGGATTTAGCCTGGCTGCCTGGGGAAGTTCTCGTACTCGACCTTGGCCAAATCACCCGAGTGGATCGCATCAATGATGGCACGAGTATCCTGTCGGCAACAGCGGCTTGATCCATTTCGAGGTTTTTGTGCCCCCACACTAGTGGAATCTTGATTAACAAAACAACCCCGCATTTGGATTGCAAAAAGCTCTTCATCTGTCTTTTCTTTATAAATCAAACTTCTACATTCTGTCAACCTTGGAGAAGTCTGGTTTTTAACAAAGTTCTCGTCGATGTGCCGCTGTGTCTGCGACCTGTGGGCTTCAGCCCTCAGTTCTGCCTTCTGTGAAGATTAGCATGACATGTCCTGGAGTCTCCGATATAAGACTTAGGGAAGGCTCGCGCTCCCTCCTCGACAATGTCAAGGTTGTTCCAGGAATTCCCACTTTCCCCACCAGTTTTTTCAACTCTATCGTGGGGTTGTGTTTTTTTGTACTTTGCCCATCTCACCCAAACAGATGTGGCAGCAGCCAAGCATCCTGTTTTAGAAAACAGCTGGCCAAGGAGCACCTGAACCGAAATAAGAGTCATGAGTCATGAGTCATAATTGACCAAGTATCACTCACCTGCCAACAAAATTGATTGAGTTTCTGTTTCTCCCCCTCTCTTCCTTAATAAAAACCTATGAAAGCCATGCGTTCCCACAAACACCAACGGCCCGCCTTCGCTCCGCGTTCGCTCCGCACCGTGCTCCGGGTTCAAGCGCCTTCAAGCTCATGCGGTGGCCCAGGCCGAAGGCACCACCCGTCCAGCCGGTGTTGATCAGCCAGGCGTTCACGTTGTGCTTGGCCATCCTGGCACCGGTCACGCGGCCACGCCCGAATGTGTGGACATGTCTCCGCGAGTCTAGTCTGAGGAGATTCCTTTGGATATGTTGTACGAATGACATATGGACTGTCTAATGGTATGTCTTCCTTCTGTTGTATGCAGGGTGTGGTGAAGACACAACTATCAAACATGGTTTCATGATTTCATTAGAGGTGTTAGGTTTCCGTGAGGAACAAACTCATCCGGTGACAATGGATTGACCATGCTGTGGTTTTGCAAGCTGTTTGGAGACGTCGTGTTCAATAGGCTGTGTTGAGTTGTCTGTCTGTTGTTTTCACGGTTCTTAGATGTTCGACAGGGGAAGAAGACTTGAGGTGTCTTGAAGACTCGAGTCCGAGGTCGAAGGGCAACATCTGCTCATCGTTCGGCGTGAAAACCGGCGGGTTCCTTTGAACACGACAGCCACCACAGCCTTCCTAACCGACCTAACCCAATAAAGAAGAGGAAAAAAGATGAAACAAGCAAGTTAGGATCCCGAGGCCAAGGGTGAGTATGTTCCGTGTTCACCTAGATACAGTCTAGATACTTCTATAGATACAGTATTTTCCCATACGAGGATGTGGCGCAAAGCGGAGAACCCACTGCCCTCATCCCAATAGAAAAGACTCATGAACCACCCCAATGGTTGGGCCCCCGCTCTACGGAGTTCGACCGACCCACAGGACTTGCAGTTTGACAGAACATGATACGCTCTGTCCAACAAACATGCTCCAAAACGGTGTCCATGAAACAGAAAGCCTTTCTGCAGCAACCGAGGATCTTTTCAGCCAGCAGTTCGGCATACTTGGCCGGGTGCCACACCATGAAGGGGGCACCAAAGCAGGCGGAGAAGGTGGCGGTGGGCTCACTCACGCCCATCTGGCCAGCTTGGAGACATGCTGCCAACGGGAAGGTGAGACATCGTGTGGTTCACCTCTTTGGCTGCAACAAACCAGTTCTTTCTGCAAAGGTTTCACCCCCAGTCTCGCCCACCATGGTCCACCAATGTGCGGATCCCACAGACTTGGTGGCCGTAAACCAGCATCCATCGCCCGCGCCGCCCGCGCCTCGGTGCCAGCCACCTTTGCGGTGTAGCCAGAGATGAAGTGATACCTCGGTGCCAGCCGTCCTCGCAACCCATGCTTCCTCTGCCCAAGCAGAGAAGGAACATCCGCGGTCCTAGCTGCTGGGACTCTGCATGAGAGATATATAATAGAACTCATAGCGACACATGATAGACGCAAAAGGGATGGTTCGGCTTTTGTCCGGCTGTTTGCCGCGTAAATCCTGAGTATGCAGTATTTGGACTCCACATCCCCTCAAAAAGAATTCATAGAACAGTCTCCAAGCAAGAGAACACTAGTCTCTTTGGAGACGACTACCCCTACCAATGAAACTCCTCCAATTCGTAGGGGTCATCGTTTGAAAGGACACCTGGAGTCGATCGGTTTTGCATTGTCCAAGGTGCATGGCTTGTGCTGGCGTGAGCTTGGAGACTGGTGGAAGAACGCCAAAGGCATCGCAAGTGAGCCTGACATCCCATCAAAGGGGCTCCAATCAACATGCGACTCTTGACTCATGTCAAAAGTTCATGTGGCCGGGAATGTAACTCTACCAGAAAAAAGAACCACCCGCGGTTCTGTAGTACTTGGCCCTATCATGGTTGAAGCACTGGCCATTGCCTGGACTCTGAAGGAAGCTCCAGTTCTGTGGGAGTTCTTTTTTGCTTGCACATCAAGCGTTCATCGCAACTACGAACCAAAGCAGGATGTTTCAGACCTGCATGTAATGCATGCAAGCTGCTCAAATTCTCCAAATCTAGATCTGTTTGGCAAACAACATGGCGTGCCAAATGCTTCGGAGTTGTAAACTTCTGAGCTTGAATCTCCAATCCAGGCTCAATTCCAGGACGGCTGGTGCTGTATGTTCCTCTTTCCCTGCAGATTGCGCGCTTCCACAAAATGGCTCACAAATTGCCAATGATGCCAAGTAGCATGATGATGTTCTTCGGATGACCACCAACTGCAGGAATCTTCACATTGGGGATGTACTCCAGTGGGTACCTGATGGTGCTATATATATTATATATTATAATATACTATATATGAACTTGACGGCCAAAGAAATCAGTAATCAAAACTGAGGAACAAAAACCAAAACATTGGGCCGGTCGGTAGGTTTGGCAACTGCAAGAAGTGGTGGGAAGCTGCTGGGCAGGGGTTTAGCAGTTTGGCCACGCCGTAGCACGCATTCCCCATAATTGGAAGCTGCGAGACGAGACCCGGGTATTCTCAGTGATGCTGTTGTCGTTGTAGTCCACTTCACCAGTGCGCTGGTCGAACACCACCTGACATTTCTGCGTGGCTTTGCCAAGAAATCGAAAAACACACACTGCATTGAAAGGACATGCGGCATGCGCTAATTATGCTGAAATAGCTGTTGTTTTGTGCGATCATTGGTCTAATGACATAGCGGCATAGCCCCGGGAATGCTTCCTTCCTCGCCGCGATGTGCCGTGATTCTGTAGCAAGCCTTGTTCCCCCATCTGCTTGGGACTGCTAACTCCACACTAGCGAGACTTCAATTAGGACTTAGGACGGCTCTAGTTCGCAACGGTCAGAATGCGCAACATAAGACCAAAGCTCCGACAGCCACTCGGCTGTGTCTACAGCAAGTCGCTAGCTTGCTACTTAACTATCTTACGCAGGAAGCTCCATCCAATTGGTCAAAGGCAATTTTGCAGTCTCATACCATCACCGGGCGTGTCTCATTGTGATAGGTTCTCTTCAAAGAATGGAACTATTGAGCGCTAAACCCCTCCCTATTTGCCGAAGCTGCGTTCTCCAAGAGCGCGCCAAAGCGAATGGCATCCCAAATCTCCGGCTCCTTCTCCCTGGTGAGGCCAATAGCCTTCCTGGTAATGCTGCGACATGCTGAGACAAATATTAAACATTATTAAACTACATCAGTTTGCTTCAACAAGTCTGCGTGCCCAAGCTTGATAGAACAAGTGAATGCTGTACGCTAATAGGGTAAGTCTCTACAAGCTTTACCGACAGTTTGCCCTAATGCTGTTTCGGATTGTTTCGCAAGCGAGACGTGACCAAGCTTCGCGTAGCAGCCACCTTCGATGTTGAACACGCCCTGCAACCAGTGACTGACGCGTGAGACAAACATGCGATCACAGGTTTTTCCCAATGTCCTTAGCACTTGCACACCTGCAGTGCATGCATTCCTGCATCAATGACACTTGGTTTCTTTAATAAAAAAACCCAAGTCAAGTACATAACATATGTTTTGCGAAGGACTGTTGGGATACACATATCTTGATCTAGTAGGAGCGATTCATTTAAGCATTCAAGCCATGTATGCAGAGTGGGTCCCTCCAGTCAATGCTTTCTCCGACTACAAGTGGTCCACGTTGCCTTGTCTGTCCAGGCGTGTTCATCATCACCGATAAGCTTCCGGTTCTCATCCGCCGACAACCTTTGGAGGTTGGGAGTAGGTTCTAGGGAGGGTTGGCCAAAGACTGCCCATCCACCCTGTGTTTGACCTCGATGAACCAAAGGTCTCATAGACCAAAAACAGCAGCAAAACCGCAGGGATTACGTGCCCTAAAGGCATGTGGAGACTGAATGGTGATGACGAGCTCTTCGGACCAGTGTCTTTGAGAGCCATCACCTTGAGAATGACTTTGGGTGGGGCACCCAAACAGAACCCATCTATCTTGGCCAAAAAAAACAAACACAAAAAAAAACAAAGTCCTCTGTCTGGGCCAAAAAAGGACTTTGGATCACCAACTCAAAAGTTTATGATCCACATCCCTCGCCTCTCATCCAGGATCCCTTTGCTTAATTGCGGCCCCGAAAGATCTTCGTTCTTAATGTTTCTAATGACCTAGTCCTGCTCCCGGTCGACCGTTCACTCCAAGAAACGTGGTCTTCCCCGTGCCGCTGAGGCCAAAGAACACCGTGACATCGCCGTCCTGCAGGCCCCGACGTCTGCGGCGCCCTTCGGCCCTTCGGATGATAGCCACCGGGTTTTGGGGCCACTCCCAGTGGGAGAACAACTACGGGACTCTGCAAATGATAGAGTCCCAAGCATTCTGGACTCTGTGGGTGGTTGTGGGCTGATTTCAGATCTCTACAATACCTCCAGTGGCTTGACATATCAGATTGCATACCATGTGCACCGATCCTGGCCCTCATTCGCACTCGCGTGCATGCTGAGAATGCCCTGCTTGGGCAAGAGATAGTTCATGATGGTGAAAACGCCTAGCCACGAAGACTGCCACAAACAAACAAATCTACAGTAAATTGATGTAAATTGGGACAAAGGCCTGAGCAACACACATCAGCTGTGGGCTTGACCATCCAAAAATGTTCCTGACTTGAATGGGTTTATAGGTAGAACCACTTCTGAGAAACCAAACACAGAGGATTTATTTCAGAACATCTATGTTTCGTGAGATGAAGACTCTGCGAACAGCATTGCGCCTTTCTTCATCTCGCCGGCGTACTGCGAGCCCAAAATCACTACCTGAAAATAAGCGATCGTGACAAAGAGAGGTTCTCATCCTCGTTTGTGACATGTGACATGATTGCATTGAAGCAAGGCATATATATATATATGTATTGCATATGTAAATGTATATGTAACTATATGGGTACAACGTCCCTCAGACCCTGTGGACGGCAGCAGCATGGTCGGCAAAAACGCCTTGGAAATCCGATCAAAATTGAAAAAACTGTGAAACTGGGGTCGCCCGAAACTAATGACTTCGACATCCGACGACGCACACTTTCTCTTTCAGCGCAATTTGCAGGCAGCAGCTAGCTGCTTCAGCATCTCATCAGGTGTGAGATCTGTGGTAACCTTCAGGTTTCGGCGCCACAGCCATTGGTACACTCTTAACTTCAACACAGCTTAGTGTGGAGCCGACACCTGCTTAGCAAAAACTTTTCTCTGATGGCTGACTTGCACTATCGGCACCTTCAAGTCTTTGGCAATTTTCTGCCACGAGAGCGCCCCGTCAGCATACAAAGCAGGTTTGGCTGCACACAAGGATCATCTTGGAACAGGTCCGCTTCGGACTCCATTTCCTGCAGTTGATTAAGTTCAAAAAAACCCGTCCGCAGAATGAGGCCCTTCTTCTTTTGGAAAAGTTAGCATGGCAAGGTCTGCAACCAAAAAAGAATAAAAAGCTGAAATCTGCAATGAGGAATCTTCCAATTCTCGTTTGCGCTGCATTTGTCCGCGTAGAAGATCACGACTCAAAGGAGTCAAAGGTTGATCGTAGTCGTAGTCATGTTGATCTTCCCAAGAGCAAGGAGACAATGGTTCCTGAATGTGGTTTCCGTGTCATCGTTGCAAGCATGTTCTTAGGCTATTCTTCTTCCAACGAGACGTGGAACAAAAGCAAATGCCAACCCTTGAACACTGCAAAAGTCCTTCATAGCAATTCCACGACCATCATGTGGATAGCGTGCAACGTCCACACTACAGGGGAGAATGAAGAAAGTTTGGGAAAAGAGAACTTAAGACATCAAGTGGCCAGTATTGGCCGTCGTTGCGGAGGCGTTGCAGGGGCTGAAGTAGATGGCCTAGAAGGACTGTGAGAGACTAGCTTCCTCAGATCAAATGAAACGAAGTGTGGTGTCGAGGCTTGCACATACGACTTTTGTCGCCATTCAAAAGTCTCCATGTAAGAGCACATGTCAATAGCACCCCACCCCACCCCATCCATCGCGTAGCATCTGCTACCTTAAACAACTGCTCGTAACGCCAAGTTGCAGAAACGGAGTTCCCGCATCCATGCGCCGACGCAGCGTCGGCTGCTACAGATCCATCTCGTGATCCATTGCCGTCGCAGAAACTGAACACATGTTGACATCCTTTTCATGAATGTGTGCAAGTGGTTGAGATTCAAGTTGCACAAAACAAAAACATCTATTTCGTTTCTCCTGCTTCTATTTCATCTGTCCGGGTAAAGGATACCTGCCTACCTGGGCCTTGATGCCACGACGCCGGCGTGCAAGAGAAAAAAATCGTGCAAAAACTGATTCAATAAAGCTCGATCGCGTCATGGCTCACAGGCCCCTGAAGACGTTTTAGGCAACTATATACAATCAAAATACAATATAATACATACTATACTTGTTTGTACTCATAGCATGTTCCTTTGGTCATTTGTATTACCCGTTCCTCCCTGAAGAAGTGCAATGGACACGCCAAGAAAAGTAGTGCTCCATCCAGGTTCGCTCCTCTTCGACTTGCTTGGGAGTAGTTGCTGCTGGCCAAACAAACTCCAACCAAATGGGTTCGTTTGAGGTCTCCAACCTTCCGGATAGGAGGGGTGTGATTGTTAGAGTGGATCCATTGCTCCTCAGTAACCCCTCTTGACCAACACAACCTATATATAATTACCCCAGTCCACAAACAGCCCAAGCCCAGCATGACCTGCCTACCCCTCCTTCCTACGTTCCCATCCTGCCTCCCGAGTCTTGAAGTTCAACGACACTGAAGTGCCACTTGACATGCCTTCAGTGGCCCGGTTTGCAGGGAAAGCACCTGAGCACATCTGAGTCTGCAAGGGCTGATGAGCACCTAGCCACTGTTCACCATGGGGGTTCAGCGGGACATTGGACCATTGGACCATGGTTCAGTCAACAACAAATGCTGCCAGCCACCCTCGAAGGTGGCGGTCCAAAGATGGCTGCCAAACGGAGTCCTGTTTTGGGGGCCCTCCCAGCGGCAACTCTCAACGCACATAGGTTGAATCAAACACTGGGCGTATACACATTATAGCGCGACGAGCACGGCCCATGTTGGGCAGTGCTGCCTATACACATTATAGGCTGAAATAGTTAATAACAGTATGGTGCACTGGCCTATACAGCGTTTTCAAACCACAATCTGAGCGGCCTCAATGTTGCACAAGGACAGCCTTCTCAGCCTGATTATTTACAGTATGTGTCATCAAAGTCCTCAAATCAAAAAGATCTTCGATCCTAGAATATCCTAGAGAATTGGAACCATCTCACGCGACCCGATCGCAAGTGAGCGACAAACCATCTCTGAACACAACACCTACGCTCAGGTCTGTCTACTTGCGACTACAAACGTGTCTAGTCTGATCAAAAGGTTTTTGCATTCCATCACGCTGGCTCACCTGCGTTTATCCACTTGAACACGTTTATCCACTTGTGATTATATACGTAGGCATGTGTTTCTGCAGGTCTTTTACGTCAGACATCCCATGATGCCATCCAGCTGGCGGCTCACCTGCGTTGTAGATGGTGTAGTCCGGCTCCCCGAAGTGTGCGAGCTCTTCTTCGGTGGGGCGGATCAACATGTTGTGCATGAAGAGGGCGTGGTACGCGCGACTCGTGATCACCCGGATCCTCAGCCAAATCTTGACACAAACCAAACAACAGGCTCTGGGAGCACCGAATTTCGTCGAAGATGAACGTTGCTGAATTTCATGGCGTGCAAACGAACGAACACAGCAACTCTTGTGCAGCTGAACATCTTGTAGCGGTAGTCAGGGTCCCAGCCAGCGAAGCCATCAAGGACATACCTCAGGTCACAAGTAAATGACCCTCGAGGGGGTAAAGGTGGTTCTAAAGGTTGCTTAAGCATGCTAGTTAGGCCACCCTCCGTGGACTCAGCAATATAGTTAATTAGAGGAGTGCACAGCACAGCTTCAAAGCCACAAACTCAAAACCTGGGATGATGAAGTATCCAATTGCTACTCTATTACTGAAGACCCCTGAAGTAGAGCTCAATGCAATCGGTCTCATTTATTTGAACACTGACACCCAAATTGCGTACTTGTTCGGTGGAGCAAGCTATGGAACATCACACTACACTCAAAACGCAATAACTAAGCGACTCAGCAATGCCAGGATACAGTCTGGGACGTGTGTTGAGGTAGTCGATGGCTCGCTCTCTGTTGATGATGAAGCTCTTTTCTGCAAGTTTGACATTCACCGAGCCCCACCAAATGTCGTCCACAGTCGATTCCTCCTGAAGTTTCGGGTGCCTTTGAGCCTGATCCTTTCACTCCGTTCTCCGTTCTGAAGGCGCATACTGGTTCTGCTCATGGAGACAACCCGTCTGTCAACCTGAGTCAACCTGCATAGAAACCTGACTCCAAAGTGCGTGTGGGAAAAGAAACCTCCCCTTGTTCACACGAATCTCCATGATCCCCTGGACGAAAAAGTGAGTCCAACTTCGAAGTGGCCACCACTTGCAAACTGGTCAGGCAACACCCCTTGCGCTACATACTGCATATGTGTATGGCCAACAAATTGATGAATTGTTTTCTCGATCTGATGGTGAAGGGGACCCAGCAGTCCCCCAAATGACCTAGTTTCTGGTCCAATGTGCATGTGACTAGAAGGTTTCAGCATACAAACATGATGCCTTTGCAGTGCAAAGAGCTGCGTGTGTTAGTCCCTTCATCTTCCTTGACACTTGCAGAACCACTGGCACAAATGTGGAATAGGCCTAATTTTCCGCTGGCACACATGTTCCTCATGTTTTTCCTGTCTCTTTACCATCTTGGAACTATTTCACCTTTGACCACCCCTTGAAGGCATGACACATCACGCACTATGGTACGTGTTGAAATCGAAGCTTTCACCACCTTTACCCACCAAAGTAGTTCACCATGACGGCCATGACGTGTTAATTACACACACATATATATATATAAAGCAATATAATGTAATATCTATACATTATTCCAAAGAAAAACATGTTACAGTTAATTACAATGTTAGTCACTTTGTTTTCTTGGTTTCCATCTCCGCGATGCCACACATGCTCCGCTCCTCGACGACTCGCTTGTCCAAGGGCGAGCGCCCCGTCTTGGCCCCGCTGTAGGCGGCCAATGCGCCAGTGGACAAAATGGCGGAGCCCTTCTCGTAGCGCAAGGCCTGCGAGGGGCAACTGGCTCAGGGCGTGCAACTGCGGAAGCCGTACAGGGGAGGCAAATGAAATCACAGGACGTTCTGACCACCCAAAACACGGCAAAACGCTGACAAAGGTAGGGTGTTCACACAGAAAAACCAAGGTTTCCACAGCCAACATCAACTCTCTTTCATGTCGTTAGATCCCTCCTGGTATGGCCAATGTGTTGATTCACTGATCCAAATGTCTCTACCCGCCCTGAAGCTGCTTCCCTGTCTCTGGATGGTGAGGTGTAGTTTGGCTGTTCAAGGAGTTCCTGGATTCAGGACGTTTTGACCCACTCCTCTCTCGACTGAATCTTGGTGCAGGTCCAAGGTCTAGAATCTAGAACCTCACACATTCCAGGCACATCTTGTCTTGCGGCCTCATCGTATAAGGTCCCAGGGCGTGCGTTGTGGATGACTGCGTCAGTCTCAATGCCCAAGTTGTGTAGAATCTTCATGTCCGCATCATCGAACTGCCTTGGTAGCTCCAACGGTCCGCTTCGACTCAAGGCCCTTCGCAGCTAATCGAACACCATCCTTGCAGTAACTCGTCATGTGCCGGGGAAAAGGAAGTTGGAAGGGAACATGAACATGTATATATCATTGGAATCTTCCGGGCCGCTCCACCGAAAAGCCACTTTCCTCTGGTGATCTCAGTTTCTCTCAGTGGAGCTCAGGAACTTGGCACGAGTTCCCGCCTCAAGATCTTGATTTTCACAACTCACACGTAACTTGAGTCTCTCACCCGCGGCTCTGCACACCACGGCTGGATGTGGCTCCACAAGCCGGATCAAGCAACGATCCCTCCAAGATCCTCCCATGCCCCTATCTTCTCATCCTTTCCCTCATGCCCCCGACCCCCGACCAACAAACATAATAACTACTGTAAACACCCCTCACCTCCATAACATTGTACTACCCCCAGCCCAGCCCGTGCTCTCACTTCAAGCTACGCCCAGTCCTTTGGCACCATCATCGCCTCATCGTGCCTCGCCACCTTCAGCGCTTCGGCCACGGGCGCGCGGATCGTCGTCTGGTCCGCCAGCCGGGGCCTCAGAGCGGAGCGAGCGCCTCCGGGACGCGGTGGAGACGTGGACGTTGGGCAATTGGTTTGATGGCATATGATGAAGTGTGCTCCGTGCAGTAAATCAATATATATATATATGTACGCAGCGGTATACCATCATCGTTAGATGCCTACTGGCGCCTTTTCGGTCCTTGGTTAGATAACATATTATCATAAAATCGAGGATCGGTCTGAGCAAATGACACTGTCTGATAATGATTGAAAGATCTCAACGCTCTGTTTGTCCGGACATCGTTGGGATCCGCAAGCCCAAGAGCTTCCCAAAGTTTCATCGGCCTCCTTTTCAAGTACAAAGTACAATCAAAAATGGGACATGACCCCATAAGAAACAGGTGGATCGATCTACTCTACCCAGAAACCCCTTGACCCTTCAGTTGGCAGGTCGAGCTCGACCGGCGCCCAGCAGCACTCGGCCGGAATGGATCCTTCGGAGGAGGCCGCTGGCGCCGCTGGCCCGTGCCAAAGACCTGGAGGATGGCGGAAATACGAGACCTCAAATACTCTGGTTCAGTCTATTTAGTGATCACCCAAAATATGTCCAAATAGGACAGTTCCCGAAGTTTTGGAAGGGCTGACTTTTCTCGCCCACTGTCGTCTCTTGAGTGACTCCAGGTTGGGCCCCACCATTGGCCCGTTGCGCACGGACCAATGACCAATGGTGTGGGACCGGAGCCACATGGAGCCGCCCACGGGGATCTCCGGAGCGACCAGGCCTTAATGCCCTCGTTCGGGTGGCCATTGGTGTCCACAAACGCTTCGGCTTTGGCGGCTTTGGGGAGATGTCAGGAGGCAACAAAATGCTCAAATGGCTAGCGGTGGTCGGAAAGGAGAATGACTGAGTCTGACTGACTTGGATTCGCGAAATATCAGAAATGTTCCCAGAAGCTCCGGCTGGCGAATCTTCAGTACTTGATTCCCACCTAACTCACCTCACCCATCTCTAGGTAGACTCCTAAAACTTAAGCGAGAGACGGGCAGCAACTCTGGTACTCAGTCTGACCACAAGACACGACTTTCTTGTCTCTTAAAGGGTTTGCACTCTGAACATCTGAGGCTCAATGTGCTCAGGGCTTTCTGGCCACTCAACTGAGCTGCTGCCCGCTTGGCAGGCTTAGCAGGTCCATGAGCTGTTCAGGTTGTCCCTATGATAATGGTTTTTGGACTAGACTCGGATCACCCGGCTTCCATTCTTGACTGGCCAGCTATGGATTCGTCGGAAGAACTGCCAGAAAGCCATGGGGCAACGGAACCGCCTCAGCTTGAACTAGTGCATGCGGCCTGGCTGCAGGTGTGAACAGCTTGGGGCAGCAGCACAGTAGCTGAGCAGCTCAAGATAGCATAAACAGCTGAGAGGAAGTCAACCAACCATTTCACGGTCATAAACTCATGCATGAAAAAACATGTGTCAAAGATGGATGGCGCACGCTACTTGCTGCTGCAAGAAACATCTGTCCTTTGGCCCTTGGCGCAGTGCCCTAAAGACACTGAACAGGCTCGGCGGAAGATACCTGCCCTGCCTGAATAAACACTTGACAAGACATACGGTGTCGTGGCATGGCATTCAAAGCCAACGTGTGCACTGCTGGCTTCAATGGACCTGAACAATGTTTCATATTGCTCATCCTAGGAACAAGGCTCAAACAGTTGAATATGTATATTTTTACAGAACTATCTACCTCTCTCTCTCTCTCATAAACTGTAATATATATTCTTGAAACCACCAGCCAGTTAATTATATTTGTACAAAAAGAGCGCAGTGGGCCACTTGCCCTTAACTGCAAAATGCTTGGATATTCTGCAGCTGTGAAGGAAGTTTGCCCGAGCTGCTAACTTAATCAACATAAATGGCCATGGCCGACCTGAGCCAATGAATAAAACTCAAGAAGTGAACAATGCATTCAACATGATTCGGCCCAAGCGGCAAGCCAGGGATGCTGAAGCGCTTGTAAAGCTGGTTCTGGCTCTGCCAGCAGTTGTGCAAGGAAATCTTGTGCTCCTGGATGCAAACCAATCTGATTGTCATAAACGCCGTCGCTCTTTCAAGTGCTCCATAGGTACACATGCTGTTGCTTCTGCATGTGGATAAACAACCTTTAATCAAGAAAAACTGATCATGTTTTTTGAAGAACACACATTACATGTCTGACATGTCCGAGCCGAAAAATGCTGAAACGACCTGCTTCCTGACAGAAGTCAAACAAATCACATCATAGAAAACATGAGTCTTCCATTGGTCCATCCGCTTCCGGACAAAGTGGGAGAGTGGGAACTTGAGCATGCTGGAAGGCAGCAACTCCAAATATCCTGGTGAAATGTCTGGCAAAAGCTTCACCAAGGCAGGGCTAGCTTGATGAGCTGGAAGTCGGCCTTGTCACTTGTCACATCAGCCACTGAGGATTATGCACTAAGGACTGATAGTAGGGGTTCCAAGGAGCATTTGATTTCTCCGGGTGATTTGTCTATATAAGAGTCTGAAAAGCCAACTCTTGGCAGCTGACAGGTGCATGCTTACAGGTGCAATAGAAACTGAGCAAGGTTCCTGAAAGCATGGCAAATAACACGACGCCCAGGCTGAACATGTCCAAAGAACCGTCGCACGCCATTGGACGGCCTCGGATAGCTTCAAAATAGTCTCTTGTGTGACTGCAATACACATCTCCCTTATTGTGTGAAAAACATGACACGACAAATAGCTGGCTTACTATAACACCACAAATAAATTTGACCACGGCAACACCACAGGCAGAAATTGAACCACAATGCCCCATAATTTGTGTTCTTTTCAATATTGCACTAGCTTGACATATTGTAACACTTTATGCATAAAACAAAATCAACTTATGAAATTGTGAGATTGCCACATTGACCAAATAAGACATTCGTCCAGGAGCTTGAAAGTTCTGTCTGCTTGGGAGCGATTCTACTCTCTGGATCAAACCTGTTGAGTGAAAAAAACATCAGTCAACTGACCGTGATTCGTGCATGCTCGTGTCCGACCCTCAAAAAAGCGAGGTGCAAGCACTTGAGACAGGATAAATACTTCTGGAGGAAGATATACGGGACTACCTTCATGATCTCCTGCCGCATCCGGCTTTGCAAGTTCTGCACAAAAATCCGAGAGCTAGGGGCATCTTGCGCGAGCCTTCAAGCTCTTCGCCAGCCTGTGCTGCTAGGCCAAAATCCACCAGGGTGACATCCTTGTTCCCACTGAGCATGATGTTCTCAGGTTTCACATCCTCAAGCGTTGAAGAACGTTTTGCCTATCAGCTGGCTACAGTCATTGGATGTCATCGGACCAAACGCCCAAATCTGCACCACAAAAAAAACAGCTAACTTACACTAGCAGGTGCCAGAAGTGTAGGATTAACCCTTGTTTACGGAGCGAACATACGCCTTACCGACTAGGCAACTGGACTACCTAATTCGTCTATCTCTCTCTCCCCCTCTCTCATTGGATTTCAACATCAAAAAATAGGCCTGGAGCTAGGGGACAGCGTCCATTTATTGGATTCATAGGGGCCCTTGCTGGGCTGCGCTCTCATTCAATGGCTCATCTAATCTTACATCATTTATATATATATAAATATTCCAAACATGCCGCCAGCGACTTCAAGGGGGATCATTTGGCGAGGACACGGATCCCCGCAACAAGTTCCTTTGCCATCCTTTGGAGAAAAACATGCCTTGTGTTGACCTTGGCTTTAGCCTGAGTGTGTGGTGGAAAAACTAGAGGTTCTTCAACAGCATTGTGGGGAAAACTTGTGTGCGTATGTGTGTCTATGTTCGGTCCTGGCTAATTCCTCATACCATGCACGCCCATGACAACCCCTCTTTCTTGCAAAGTCTGCCAGAAAGTGAACATGCCATGCCGGGAAGCGAACAGCACTCCAAAACAAACAATATACTATATAGACTACTATATAGACCCCCAGTGCACTTTCCAACGTGAACTAAAGTAGTCACTGCTCGTTACTGCATTTGCGGCCGGGAATCTCTGTGCACAACGCCCTGCGAATGGCAATAGGCCAGAGAATGTTTGCTGCAGGTTCTTCTTCCATTGGGCCAGTTTGAAGAAGTGTCTCCATCAAATCCATGCCTCCCAAACCCAAGAAACTCCACGTATGGTATATATTAATGCCTACATTGACCCTTGAAACCACCCCAATGTATGTAAATATGCCATACATGGAGTGTTTGGGAAATGAAAGCGGCAAGAATCACTTAGTCAACCTGACGTTCGGAGACTGGAGGATTGTTCGTGAGAAAGCTACAGCATGGAGGTTCAACACCACTGCCGAGCCTGGAATGTATTCGAGAATGAGATTTGTATTGAACTCATCCTCAACAACTGCAAGAAGTCCTTAATTACAAGAAGGGAGACATTGCAGCATTGAAGATTGACAAACTTGAACATGCGAGATGGCAAATTCAGAAGATTTAGAAGGGCATTAAAATAGAGGGCCGCTGTGTAGAGGGCCGCGCCTTCTGCGGCGGGTGTGACACAGCGAAAAACACTTACGAAGTCCCAATGAACCACCGACGAAGTCGCCAACGTTTCGCTTGCCAAGTCTCTGTTGACGTGCGAATGGTCCAGTGCATGCAAAACACTTGCCTCACTCAAAGCAGCTTTTCGATCAACCGGGTTTTCCTGGCACAAGCGCAAGGCACAAATCGGCACTGCCCCGCGATCCATTGAAGCAGTCCTTGAAGATCGTTTTGATTGCCACTAGAGTGCCAGTCCTCAACATGTAATGTTGAACGATTAGGAACAGTTGAGATGATGATTTGAACACACATTCCAGGTATCCAAAGTTCCAAAGTTGGCTGGAGCTCAAATGTTTTTAAGAGTAGAGTGGTTTCGGGAACTACTACCCAGGTGGATTTAATGCTGAAGTTTCATCACGTAGCAAAATCCGAGTCCTCAAACACTGGCCCTGGTGCATGCCCAAACCACCACGACCTGACCGCCGTCCAGTGGTCTTTGACCAATGCGCACACCGAAAAAAACAAATTGGACACACGTGACATAAACATTAAACTATGCTCGGGGCAGAAGTAGCTATCCCCATGGGCATGATATCCATTATGCAGTTGTTTCTCTATTTCTTGCTTTGCCCTCACAACGGATGTGCTCACATCGGCTCATTTCTTGGCGCCTAGTCTTCGCAAAAGCCTAAGGAGTGGAGTGCAGGCCACAGATCTTCAGTAGAACATTCAAACATAACGCTGTGTTCACACCACACCATGCAGTGGTATATTAACGATTGTCCATTGAGGAATTGTTGAAGTGTCTGTGGTAACGAGGGGCTGAACACCATTTCAGAAAAGGCATGTCAGCAAGGCGATTGGCATCCTGATGCAATAACTATACTTACTATACTATTTCTTATCATTTCTAACTTGCAGGGATTCCAAGTTTTCTCGAAGTAATGGAAAACATGCTCATGGAGTTCACACATCTCACAACTGCTGCCGCTCGGCTCAAATTGCCCTCCAATGACTTCCGGCAAATCCTGCGGTGTCCTGTGCTGACTTCCGGGGCGCAAGTTCGGTGCCCAAACCGGTGGGTGTCGAAGCTCTTCAGCTCAATCCAAGCCCTTTAGCTCCTGGTGTCCAAGCTCTTCAGGCTCCGGTCAGTGTCATCTGCCTAGGCGCGGTGGGTGGGAGTCGATGGCCCTGTGGGTGGTCCAACCACCCAATGGTCCCATGAGGTTCCGGTGGGTGGTCATTGTCTTGCACACGGAGGCTTCAACGTCAAAGCCAGGAGGTGTTTTGGCCTGCTCGTCCACCCTTCGTGGCTCAGCCGACTGCCAGTGGCTTGGTTAGGCAAAGTGGCCGACAGCAGGACTTCGGATGTCGGTAGGCCTCGGCAGGTCTGCAAAGAAGGTTCGGCCAAACGGCAGGTCTGCACAACTCAGTGACCAGCAGCTGGTGGCAATAGAAGTTTTGCCATCAGGCAGTTCAATGTGACGAAGCTGCACCCTGGGGAACTTCTATCCCTGAGCCCAAAGAAAGCATTCAACAAGCTCAAGGATCAAGAGTGGTGCGGACCGAACTTGAAGACCACAACTTGCTCAACCGGCGTTGAATGATGTGGACCAGTGAATGACCTGTATAAGCATCATGAACGGTTGTGAACCAAGTCAGCCTACGCTGCAATGCTCCCCCAAGAGTTGCCGCCCAATTTTGTTGGTAGCTGAGCCTAGCCTATTTCGCGGTTACGGATTTCCTCACTCTGTTGGTGGTGAATTGTGCTGCATGGAATGAGGGGAATGGTGAAGCCTTTGCACATTCCAAAATCATCCAAATGTACGGAAAGGCTAGCAGTGCCTGGGACATCTGATCAAAACAAAAGGAGAATGGAGGAAGGACTCTTTCGGGTGCGTGCTCAGAGCAGAATTCGCAAGGAGCACCAAGGCAGGAGAGCACCTTGCATCCAAAATGAACAAAAACACATTACAGTAAAACATGCAAAAACACACATGTCACATTAATTCATTGCACAATACGCGAAGAAAATTGTCATTTGTCCCACCACATATTGACAATCACCTCCCATGCCGCAGCCATGGTGACTCCTGTTTCATGCACCTGCCATGTATTCAGACGGGTTTTTGTCAAATTTGTTTGGTCTGAGTGAAGCTGGGTAGTCAATGGTACATCATGAGTATATATAATTATATATACAAGATGCATCAGGCGTGTTGCCATGGGGCACTGCCAGGTGGATTGACAAGTGTACAGACTGCAAGGTCCATAAGCTCCTTACTTCGCTCAGTGCAGCGAGATCAGTGTCACTATGCGGTTGCCCAGCCAAGAAACTCCCCACGTCACGACCAAGGGTGCCTTCCCTTCGCTGATTCTGGCGCTTAGGGCTCACTGGGCTCAGCGAACGCGACTTTTGGCCCACTGTACTGGCTGCGGTTGTTGCCGTTTGAAATGCTTGAATGGACGCCAGGGTGGCCCCGAAGATCCAACCACAGGAGGATTTCAACAGCTCGAGATCAAGATTGGAGATGATCCACACACGTATGGCCTTGTGCTGGCTTAGTTCAGGGCACCCTACTTTAAATTAAACCAGCCAATTCTCCAAGCCCGCTGATCGGCAGGTCACTCTGGGCCAAAGACAAAGACCTTCAAACTGGGGCGGGCCAGCATTTGGAAGTATCCAGTTTCCTGCTTCCAAAAGCTACCCCAGGAACGTTTTGGAGGCCAGTCGCCCGTGACGAGCTTCTTGTTGCTTCCCGAAAGACCTTCAATTCTGAAAAATACACCTGACTTGAAGTGTTGTAAAGCCTTTAATGGCTGCTTATTGTGCTTAGAATATGAACCCATTCAACATCCAACCACCTTTCTCTGGCGGGTTTCCACAGAATTGGCACATTTATCTCTTTGTGCAAGCGTCACCTTAGCCACTCTCTATACAATGCACAAGTGTGCAGCTTCAACAAATTGAAGACCACAGTGCCGTACCCCGGATGCGCTGAGTAGCTGCAGCGTCTTGCGTTTCAAACAAAGCCTGAGGGCCCTGCTCTTTATGGAACTGTTCAGATGCAGCTTGACTTCCCAACTGTAAAGTTTCTAAGTTTCATTCGGAACTCTCCTTCCTTCATATCCGGTTTTCGCCAGGATCCCCCTTCACTGAAACCCAAATGGATACATGATTATTCCTGAAAAAACAATCCGCAGGGCCCTCACATGCCCTCACTACATGCATAAATCGTCATTCTTGAAACGTCTGTGAGTGCGGCGTCAAATGTGAAAAACACCACATCACCCCATGTCCCACCGGTCGATCCGGTTGGATTCCGGTTGGCCACTCACCTGGAGAAGAATGATGCGCTGCCACTGCCGCACGACGCACGCGCGTGTTCCACACGCGCGTGGCGCATCGGTTGCAGCACCGCCGTTTGCAGCATCGCGGCATCACGGCTTTAAGAAACCAATTCAATTGTGGCAGCGTCAGAACTTCATATGCGACAGCCACAACTGACCTGAGCACTGGTAAGCATACACATGTGGAGTCAAAGTGTGGAGCAGTTAGGTGCACACTACACACAAACAAAAACTGTAAAACTATATATGTACAACGGTTATAACCGGTTGAAATATATTTATATATTAATGTTCACTGTAAAGCTGTTCTAAGAAGCCTATCAAGAAGTCGTTTGCCAAGCTGCAAGCCACGGATGTTCGCGCGCCTGCGAAGCTGACAATCGTTGCGCTGGCTCTGCCAGAAGTTGCGCGAGGAAATCTCTGGCTCCTGACCAAGCGATCAAAGTTTCTGTTCTCCTGGAGCCCTGGCAATCAGACTGAGAAAGCGAAGCCGAAGCCAAAGCTGCACCCCAAGGGGTCCTGGCGAAACGTCTGGTAGAAGTGACTCGCTGGATAAAGCAGGGCTAGCTCGATGTGTGGGAAGTCGACCTTGGTGGGTCTGGCGGGTGTGGTGCGGGTCAAAGAAATCACGCCAGGTTGACAGCCGTCGTCCTGTTGTCTTTCTGTTCACCGGTATACCGGCCTAATATTGGCTTCAACCGCTGTCCCGGAGTTCTGACCACAGCCCAGCGTTTGGACATCGCTTGGATGTCCTAGCAAACATCGCAAACTAAGAGCAGCACCAGACAGCATCGCGAATAAGGCCACCCCGAGGCTAAACATATCCAAAGAGCCGTCGCAACTCACTGGCCCACAGCCTCAGACGTCATGACATCGTCGAGTTTCGATCATCGACTGGACTGGACGTTCCGGGACATCCCACGCAGTCGACACCGATGTCTTAAGGGTTGGTTCTATCTGCAACTTCGGTACGGGCTTCAGGAGCAAGATAAATGGGAGTACCTTCATCTTCTCCTTAGTACTAGAGGCATGGCAAGCAAATGCAAAGACCCGTTTGCCAGTCACAACTGTTCCAAAAGCACTTGTCCGCCTCCAAGACAGACCTAGAAAGTGGACATGACTTCCCAAAACAGTTCGTCGCACTTGTTTTCATTGACGTACTTTGAGGGCTCAAGCTTACCATGATTGCATTTCCGACTGCCAGCAGGCACCACTGCTTTCACACATGGCTCAAACGTCTTTGGCTCCACATGGTTCTGCCGCCAACTTGGCTCCTCGCCTTCTTCAAGCACTTTGCCAACCTCTGCTGCCAGACCAAAATCCACCAGCATGATCTCATCCCCGCAAAGCATAATATTCTCAGGCTTCACATCCTAAGGGCCAGAAAAGGTGGATGCTGGGGCCAGGGAACCCGTCAGTACCAGCTACTGCCAAATGGTGTGAAGGTTCAAGGAGCCATACAGAAAAATGTGCATGCTCACTTCAGTCAGCTCTTTCAAGTGAACGCACTCCTAGGACCATAGTCCGGCTTGGCGAACGGAGCCCAGGCGCTGGCTCTAGATGGAGCCATGGAACATGTATGAAACCCCTCGGAGTGAGAACCCCTTCAAGACCCAAAGTAAAGAGTTAGTATAATTCACAAACATACACCAAAACAACAAACAAACAAACAAACAAAATATACAATATAACAGAACATATGTATATATAATCATACATATATATATATTGCACACATACATATATGCGTGTGTGTGTGTGTTGATTGACTGTGATTGCTTCAAGCACATTCCTCCACTCACTCGCAGTTAAGTGATGTTAAGTGCTCGTTTGTCCAGAAGAAAGAATAACAACTCAACAGGACTTACCGGGTTGAGATGTTGAACATCTGCAGCTTGGAATCTCTGTGCACAATGCCATGCGAATGACAATATGCCAAGACTTCCACCATCTGTTGTATAATATTTGCCGCAGACTCTTCCTCCATCGGGCCAGATTGAAGAAGCATCTCCATCAAATCCATGCCTGCCGGCACTGCTCTGCGCACCGACGACATGAGCTGGAATGTCATGACATAGAGATCCGTGGACGAAACTAGTGGCTCAGTTATAACACAACATGCAATCAGTGCTCCTCATAGACTGGCACGTGACCAGCCCGCCTGGAGAGTATTCGAGAACAAGATATATGTTGAACTC